GAGGACGTCCGATTAATTTACATGCGGATGATGTCACGTACCTAGCGCCTCCAACTCCATTGCTTTTGGGAGAGAAGGAATGGAATGAATACAAAAAAAATACAGCTCGTCTGTCGGTCGGAGTGACTCGTTGTGACTTTTCCAGGATGCATTCAAATGGTGGATTAGCGGGTGGAGATCATTTCTCAGTGTGAGTCTAAAAAATTCACCTGTAATTTGTCACAGTTGCGAAGAAGTGGAGGAGCACTTCGTTATTCATAAATACAGTGGCGTGGGTTCAACTGACGTCTGTCTCTGACAAAGAGGAATTTAAATGAACCGCTGTACTGATAACAGGATATTTATAGGGTTTTGAGTCCCAGGGGGAGCATTCTGTAATGAGGAAAAGATGCCAAGTGTTATCATCGGACAGGAGAAGATGTATATCACGGGTTACGTGTTACATGAAATTGTCGTTGCATTCTCTCGTTTGAAAGTCGTTTTGGTTCATGGAAATTGGAGGAAAATCTTTATTGATGGAGTTCATTTTAGTAGGGGGAGATAAGGCAAAGGGGAATGCATTTTATGGACTCAAAACCCCAATATTTCTGTTTATAAACAAAGGTATGAAGAATTAAAGTAGATCACAAGCCTTCCACTTTGCCCCACCTCCCCTGACAATCTTAAAGACTATTGAATTCAGGCGATCATTATTTTTCATAATGACTAATAATTTTCAATGATGAATTGATAAATTACTGGATTAAATTTAATTAAACAAAATTGTTATAGATTTTTTTTACTGTAGAGTCCGTTTATTTCATAAGAATTGAAGTTGAGTTGAAATGTCAATTTGATCCCAAATGATCTAGATGCAAGAGACTACTATGTTTTATCATCTCGTTCAAAATTATACTCAGTGTCATGGTTAAAGTTCAAGTTATTGTTGAAACTTCGGCATTTTCGAACAGGAATAAATTTTTCTCCATGCACTGATAGAAAGGATTAGTTATTGTTAACGAATGGATTTGGTTGGAGACGAGGGTCTATTTGGTCTCACCAAATGTTCATTCGTTAATATTTGACAAATGCACATTTGAGGAGCCTTGTTTGACTCGATTTTCACTTTTCAAGTGAACCATTCGTTAACTATTAACGAATATTCATTTGGTCATATTCAACTCTACCATTCGTTAATAGTTAACGAATCTCGTTTGGAATAAATGAATCAGTCTATCAGTGTGGTCAAGATCCGGAAATCATAAAAAATTTCATGCCAAATCGAGTTCCAAGTCGCAGTGTAGAAGACTGGTATGTAATTAGATTTGTCAATAAAATTCCGATTAAATTCCAACAGTCGAGCTCTCAAACAAGAAAAAATCGGCTGAAATAAGGGCAAATGTTCTCAAATTGAGAGAATTGTCAAGAGTTCAAGAAAGCTGTTAAAAATATTCGGAATTATCTCGATACATTTGTTGAAAATTGTTGACACGTCACAGTTCCATCAAAATTTCAAAAAAATACATCGTTGACAATTCACAGTTCAATGAAGAAATTAATTGAGCTTATGAAATTGATAGAAATCAAGAAAATGCGGGCAAATACTCTCCAATTCATTGAAATATCCATATTTTGATTGAAAATTCAAGAGAGTCGAGGAATCCTCGTCTTCCTGCAGCTAAAAAATTCAGAACTTCATAGATTTTTCAGTGAAGTTCAAGGCTGGGCATCAATCGTCAAATTATTAATATGAAGAGAACTTGGACTGTAAAATACTTGAGGTTTTCTCATCTTCATTGCAATTTAAAAATTAATAAAATAATTGCCAATATGGAATTTTCAATTGACTATTGAGTAAATAATTCTAAATTTTCATAAAAGGATTTTAGATTTTCCAATTAGTCGTCTTCCGAACTCAATTATCAATTGATAAAATCATTTGACATTTGAATATCTAATTGATGATTGATTTAATCATTTAAAAATGTTTGAGTAATATTACAAAATTTATGATTATGGAGATGTCTGGTGAAATTTCAAAGTTCAGAATCCTCTCAAAAATTCGTACTAAAATGTCTATGAAATTTTAATTTGTTCTCTAATCCTGCATATTATCCATTGCTTCGAAGGCGGCTGTTACATCCAGGCCTGAAGAATACCAGATGAAATGTATCAGAAAATGTTCTTCGCATTTCCTCATCGTAAAATCCAACCTCCTATAGTGGCCTCCATTCCCCTCCCCCTCTCAACCCAAAGCGTCGTGAGTTCATTGGCTTCTTCTTACCTTCAATTGCACGATTAAACTCTCCATTTTACCCCCAACCCAATTTTATCTCCCTCTCCGACAATAAATTACATTTCCGGGGGATTTATCTTCATGAGTTACTCTGCAATTCGGAAATTATTTATGATACCTTGAGCTCATAAAACAAGTGTTCCTTTATTTTTCCAAGAAAAACTTTGAGAGTTAATTGGAATCCATTTAATTACTCAGTCAAATTGATGCACGAGAATCGAGGTAATGATGCACAATGGAGAAATGGAGAAAATCCCTGAATATGGAGGTGAAGCTGCTGATTGGTGGACGCATGAAACATCCAGGTCCTTCCATTAAACCAAATGACTGTTTCATTCATTACTGAGGGAAATACGGGGGTGATAAATAAATACAGCTCAGTTGTAAAGTGTGTCTCTCCCTCTCGTTGGTGGTTGGACAGGAGGATTGTTTTACCCTCAACTCCGGTTGAAAACCTCGGCCGCTACATTCTGGAGCACTCGACAAATTTTGTAAAACAGTGCGAAAAATATTTTCCCTTTATTTGTTTTATCTCCAACCGATGTTTCCGTGGCCTCTGCTTCACTATCGAAATCAGCAACCTGTGGACACAAACACTACGCCACTCTGTGTCTATATGGTGAAGCCTTTTTTTTTCATCCCCAGCCTTTGGTACATTGCGCACAACGGTCGTTAAATACTGCCTGGGTGGAATCTGCTTCACGATTATTAAAAAATTTTCACACTCATTCGCGTTATTGCGCCGTTAGCCGTTGCAACGTAAATTTATTTTCATTTCGCTATCAATCTCCTTTAAATATTACGACGCCAAAAACGAGGTGCGTTCCCGTTTTGGTGATTTTTTTCGTTTTCTCTGATTTTTTTCTTCTATTTGGTGGTTGCGACGAGTGAGAATGGAATCCATTAAAATCAGGGAGAATTTATTGGGAATCCAAAAATATCGGTGAAGCTGATTCATTCATAATGATTTTACAATACAGCATCGATAGGGATTCAATTACTGAGCAAGTTTGATTATAGTTTGATTCGAGTTTGTTCATTCGGCCAATGGCCGTCGATCGGTGGTCGATCAATCGAACCGTGATCAACTGGCACTCGACTGCGTGGACAACTCGAACCCCTTATCGAGCGATCCGGTAGGAATATCCAGAATGAGCATTTCACACTGTTAAAAACCTTTGGCTGCATTTTCCGAAAAAATATCTCGAATTGAATTTAAGGAAAAACAGGCAATGAAATTTAAAGTTTCTCAGAAAATTGAGGGAAATCCCATTTTCTTCACGGCAGGAAAACGGAAATTCCATAGTTTACATGAATTTTCAAGGGAAAATGAATATTCACTGCCGAATTCCCTTGAATTTTCAGGGAATTCTTTTAAAATACTTGGCTTTTCAGGAATTTTTAAAGGAATTCCCTGAAAATTCAGAGGAATCTGGAATTTAAGAACAGATTTCTCCGAATTTTCCCGATTTTTCATTAATTTCCCCGGAATGATTAAATTTAAATTCAAAGTTTCCACGGATTTTTGCATGAGATTATGAATTTTCAATGACAAAATTCCTTCAAAGTTCAGTGGAAATGGTACTTGTTAGAAGCTTCCATGACTCTTACCGGAAATTTCAGTGGAAAATTTTCATCAGCGCAACGACAAATTTATACTTCAAATGAAAACCTCAAACTGCATTTTGCAAAGAAGACCCTCATTCCGAACATGACTGCTAAAAATTTTCATCTGAATTTTTCGTACCAAATTCCGGAAATTTGTATCGTTTTCAAGTTCCACTGAAATTTTAGGAAATCTAGTCGTTGTAAAATCAAATATTCCATTGATTTTCTCTTCAGATGATCTGGAAATCAATAAAGTACTTGATTTTTCAATTCAATTATTCTGTGAAAATTCAGAAAAATCAGGAAAATTCAGGGAAAAATTCGTGTCATTTTGTTTCTGAATATTCATCCAAGTTGTGAAATCTCCGTCTCATTCCCACAGAAAACTCATGAATTTCCATGAATTCTACTTAAAACTTGAAATTTCAAAAAATTTCTAACAGTGATTCTCTCTTTGTGAATAATAATATAGCTTGTTTAAACTTGCGAAAAAACAATATATCCCATAATAATATATAACGGTACAAAATAGCGAATCAACTTTACACTTCCAAAGTTCAATTAATGAAATCATCTCGAAGGGCCATGAAAATCCTCATCACAGAGGTAAACAATTTTAGCAATTTAGTTACTATACTAGTCGACTCCGAGACACTTTAATATCCCATAGCTCGGATTACGAACGGCTCTCACCAATCCCCTAAAAATAATCCAAATACGATAACCGATTGAACTCCAGGAATAGAAAACACCGGAGATAAGATGATTCTTCTGAATCCCGTTTCATTACGAATACACACGGCCGTTATCCGCATGTATAGCAGTGCTCATACAAATACCAGGAGGAATAACAAGTTTATTGGCCGAGCTCCAGAGGGACTACTCAAGCTCAATCGCTCTCCACGGGCCTCGTACATTACCCTTCACGCTCACACAACCGGTGATTTTACCAACTAAATTCAGCATACTACGGACCAAAATCTTCCCCCATTAATCTCCCTCCGCTTTCCCATATGTTTTTTTTATTTTACTAGTTGATGGAGTGGTGAGGGCACATGGGGCGATTTTAATAGTCAAATAACGCATGATGGTTTTTTTTTATTTTCGTCTGTTCTAGACTGGTTTCATCGCCAACGAGAAACAGCGAAGCGTCGAGCAGCAATTCGACGATGCATGGGGCGACATTTGCCGTTCGCGTTGGCACTATAGACGGTGTTATTACGCATCACCTCAGGGCAGAGACGCGCAGAGATTTAGCTGCCTGGGCGAGGGCAATAGTTCAGGGATGTCACACAGCCGCACAATCGATGCGTGAATACACAGTTCGTGAGTATTTTTTCATTCCCTAATTTTTTGCAACATTTCCCGTTTGCACTGCTCGGACTACACTGTCAGGAAAAAAATCAAATTTCATGGACAGTTGACTACTAATTTTCAGGACTATAACACTGAATGCGATTTAGGAGAAAAAAAATCATGAAATTTTAGGTTTCAATGAAAAGTCGGGAAAATTCCAGAATTTTAAGCAGCATAACGACGAGAATTCCTTAATTTATTTGAATTTCCAATCTAATATGAATATTTAGTGCCAAATTACGTTGAATTTTTAGTGAAATCTGAATTTTCATGATTTTTTCCCCCTAAATCGCATTCAGTGTCACTGTCCTGACAATTCAAGAATATATTTACCGGAATTTTCTGGTTTTATGTTCATTTTCAGGGAAATATGGAACTGAAATTCACGTTCTCTTAGTTTTTTCTACGAAATTCTGAATTTTCAATGACGAAATTCCTTGAAATTTCAGTGGTAATTAAATTCGATAAAAATTTCCAAAAACTGTACCGGAAATTTCAGAAAAAAATGTTCAACAGTGTACATTTGGTTCCAGTCGTAGTTCGTCGAGAATTTCTGTATGTACAAAATTTTCTTTTTTCGCGCCAATTTTCGGGAGATAATTTTCCCAATCCGAATTTCAGGTAACGAATTCGCAACATTTCTCTGCGAAAAACATGACCACCTGTGTTTGTTTGCAATGAGGTTATAGGGGAATAATCCAATCATTTTGGAGCTCTTGTGGTATTGTAGGTCAGAATTACACTGTTGGAAATTTAGTATTGACATTTCCAAGTGTTCGGAATTTCCTAATTTCCACTGGAAATCGCAATTTTTCCGGAATTTTTTCCTCCGTGTAGGAATGAATATTCTTGGGTACAAATGGCGTAATTGATGTTCCTAACCTATCCACAAGATTTCATTTTTTATCTAACAGTGTAATGACCTTTCAATTTAGTCAAATTTCAACAATTGAAAAGGGATATTCCTCTTTTTTCGTCTGAAATAGACATTTCGTCACACGATTCCGTGACCCGGTATGCAATTTTCCCGGAATTTTTTTTCTCCGTGTAGGAATGAATATTCTTGGGTACAAATGGCGTAATTGATGTTGCTAAACTATCCACAAGATTTCATTTTTTATCTAACAGTGTAATGACCTTTCAATTTAGTCAAATTTCAACAATTGAAAAGGAATATTCCTCTTTTTTCGTCTGAAATAGGCATTTCGTCACACGATTCCGTGACCCGGTACGCAATTTTCCCGGAATTTTTTTTCTCCGTGTAGAAATGAATATTCTTGGGTACAAATGGCGTAATTGATGTTGCTAAACTATCCACAAGATTTCATTTTTTATCTAACAGTGTAATGACCTTTCAATTTAGTCAAATTTCAACAATTGAAAAGGAATATTCCTCTTTTTCGTCTGAAATAGGCATTTCGTCACACGATTCCGTGACCCGGTACGCAATTTTCCCGGAATTTTTTTTCTCCGTGTAGGAATGAATATTCTTGGGTACAAATGGCGTAATTGATGTTGCAGGATGCCTGTGGCAGAGTCGGCCCTGTCAGCTCATCGTCAATCATGAGGAGGGCTTCATGCTTTATGCAGCAAACACCAGAGGCGTTAATGGGGTCAGTCCAGGATCGCCACCAGCACCGTTGTGGAAGAGGTCGTTCGATAAGCTCAGAATGTCCGCCGATGACGGCGCACGACTACTCTGGCTGGACTTCGGCGGCGACGATGGGGAGATCGTAAGTTTTTTTCTCGAATATTTTGGGGCTAAAGTTTCTCGCAAGTTCTGGGATAGGGTAAGGCGTTCGGTACTTGAACGGAGGCATTTCGATCGTAACTCGAAGATTGCGAAGTTTCATGAGCTTTCAGTGGAGGGATGAGTGCTCTGGTGTTTCTTGGGGGGAACATGATAGCGTTCGACTGAATCAACTATTTGTTTCGAAGCGTTTATTTAATACTATTCGTGCTGTATCAAGTGGCAATTATGTTGTCGAAATTATAAATATGACTTGAGGGAAGAAAACTTATTATTTTAGAATACTATACATGATTCGAGAATTAAATAATTAAAATTTCAGTTTCTTTTATTCATAACTAAATATTCGTAGTTTGAGGATTAAACCTTCTATAATCAGGAATATTCCATTAATATTTATGAATTAATGATTCATGATACCATATGTTGAGGAAAATAGTACATTCTGTTGTTTTGGGGACTAAACTCTCTAGAACACTATTCTTAAAATTTTAAAGGGAACCAGTTCAGTTTTCAACGAAATCTAATTCACAGAAACCTCCGTCTATCTACTATTCACATATTCAATAAATTCACGTAATAGGCACTGATATTATTATTTCCAGGACTCTACGTGAATTAAAATGATTGAAAATTATGAAATATCATGTTAATATTATTCTTTTTTTTATTATCGTTATTTTACATCGCTTCGATCCGGTTGGGGTGTCCTGCGATGATGATCAAGACTTTAAATGGTCAGATCTCACCACTCTACCCGGCCAAGTTTTGAACTCGGAAACTTTCGCATGTGAAGCAACGAACTTACCCACTGCGCCAAGCCACCGGTTATTAATATTATTCTGAATTCCCAATTAATTCGGAATTCAATACAAAGAATTCTAATTTCCAAAATAAATCCCAAAATTCAAGCTTTTTAAGCTGACAAAACAGGATTTTCTTGACACAACATTTCAAATAAATAGACTCGTTTATTTTAACCCAACCACAGCAGGAAGAGGAAAATTTATTGCAAAAAATTAGAAATGATCTCCTGAAAATTAATTCCTTCTCCTCTGTATATCAACAACTTCCAATCTCTTTAAGCTTTCAAGCTCCCCTGATCAATGTTGCACCAAAAATAATATTTTTAGTTCAACAAAATCCTAATTGTTATTCATGTGTAGATGCGTGGACATGTCGGTGTCTTGTGAACGGAACTGAATTTTTTAAAAATGTGCAAATGTTATAGAAAATCCGAGAATTTTCTCAAATTTTCAAAAAAAAACGGAGAATTTTCTCCAATTTTCTAAAAAAACCGGAGAATTTTCTTAAATTTTCTAAAATTCCGACAGATAGCGTTGGCCGTTAGCGATGCCCACGTAAAAAAAATCCGCATACACCCCCTTGAAACTCGGTTCTTTATCGATCGAGTGCCCCTAAATTCATGTTTATTTATAGTCCCTTACGCCGGAATGTCCCCTATCACAAGTAAATATCCCCAAGATTTCCTGAACTTCATTTTCACCGCCCGGTATATGAGTACTAGGGAGCGTCGTCATCCGAGGGAAAAGTAAATATTTGTTGTCCAGGCTCTCACAAGAGTCTTAAATAGAAATGTTCGACTGCACTCAAGGAAAAGTTTCTCCTCTCATACCTTTTTGTCGATCCACTCGGCTAAACTAGCATTGAAATCGATTTATTTTTACCTCTGTTCTTCCCCGAGTCGAGAGAATGCCAGAGAGAAAAAACCTAAGGGGGATATAAAATCATTTGTATTTTTCTTGTTCCAGGAACTCGATCTTGAGAGCTGTCCAAAGCCAATTGTCTTTGTGCTTCACAATTTTCTCTCAGCGAAGATTCACCGATTGGGCTTGACCGCATAGGGGTACGAGGGGGCTTCGACAGAGGCCCCCGATCTGCCTCCCCACACCACTCGCTCCGTAACCAGTGTCTTTCTCCACTAGAAACACTTGAGTTCAATGAGTGGGTGGCCTCTTCAATCATTCTTAGTTGACTCTACCGAGGATCAAGAGGATTGCATCCTGCGATGGGGTATGGTTTGTCACATTCCAGAGGATCACAAAATAACAAATGTCACTGATGACTGGAGAAAATCTCAAATCCAGTAGAAAAACTAGTGTCTAAAATCAATCGTTCGTCTCTTACTTAAGACGTTTGTGTCCCCAACACTGAGTCATTCCTAGTGATTCAAATTGAGACATTACTCTTCAATCAGAAAACTTGTAGCTTGAGAAATTTTAACAGCAAAATCTCTTACACTGAGAGAGCAAACCGAGTCAACTAGGTTTTTTATGAGATTATTTTGGATTTGAGACTACAAAAATATTGAATAAACTGATTCATCCAGAAATTACTTCCTTGTCGTAAACGAGTTCTTCTCATCTTTAGGACGAGCACGAAATCTCTTGAAAGTTTTTATCTCAGCGTAGCAAATTTCGCGTTTGAAATTTGCAAGCTACACTGCTAGATTTTTCTTGAAATTTCGGTCACAGCATCATCTGAATTTCCGATGTTGTGAGGTTGAATTCAATTTCAAATGGAAGTGTTCACTAAATTTCTCATTCATATTGACAATTCAAGAAAATGGGTTAAACAATCATGGATTTTTTAATTAAAGCTTGAATTACCAAACTCATCGTGAAAATTGAACGTCACACAATTAAAATTTGCTCTACGGGGCCAGCGCATGTCGGTGGTGGGCCGGCTTAGCTTTAGGAAGCTAAGCAGCGCTGAGCGTGGCCACTAGAAGGGTGGGTGGCCGCGAGGGAATACCTCTGGAAAGGATCGAATTTTTCGAAAGCCGGAAGATGCATTAGGAATTAATATACTGCCGGAAAAATGAAATCCGTCAGAAACCGAAAAGTATAGAGTAAAGGAACAGTTACATTACAATTCACTAGCGAAGTGGTAAAACGGTTCAAGTCGACTTATCTCCCAGTTGAGTTTTTGAGGAATATTTCCGAATCTAAGGGAGATAGGGAAATTTTCGTGATTGCATTTGTTGTAGCACTCAATCAGCTCTACAAAAAATTGTGCTATATCCCTTAGATCTCCCGGTGGCTTGGCGCAGTGGGTAAGTTCGTTGCCTCACATGCGAAAGGTTCCGAGTTCAAATCTCGGCCGGTCAGAATGGTGTGATCTAACCATTTAAAGTCTTGATCATCATCGCAGTATACCCTAACCGGGTCGAAGCGATGTAAAATAACGATAAAAAAAAATATATATCCCTTAGATCTCCCGGTGGCTTGGCGCAGTGGGTAAGTTCGTTGCCTCACATGCGAAAGGTTCCGAGTTCAAATCTCGGCCGGTCAGAATGGTGTGATCTAACCATTTAAAGTCTTGATCATCATCGCAGTATACCCTAACCGGGTCGAAGCGATGTAAAATAACGATAAAAAAAAAAAACCCTTAGATCCTGAGATATTCATTGAAAACTGGTCGATAGTTGAAATTGACTTGTACCGTTTCATCACTTCGCTACTGAATTCAATTTTGAATAGATTGAGAATTTAGAAAAGTTGTTGTTTTCAAATTTTTAAGTTTTTTTAGTGCCTGAACATCGAGAATTCCTTGACTATTCAAGAACTAACTGATTCGTCAATGAAGAAATACACAGAAATTGCATATAACTTTGTCGTTGTTAAAAATTGCAACCTTTTGTACTTGAAATTTCAAGACTAATTTTCTAACAGTGTGTAAGTTTCCTGATTGAAGTGAAGACGCACTCGAGGATCTTATGTTTCAAACTTATGATGTCTCATTTGTTTTCACAAATACTTCATTAATTGTCCCTTAATGGTCGACCACGTCGCATAAGAAGCGCCAATCATGTCATCCCCGATGATTTTGGTGACGTCAAAAACAGCGGTCATCACACAAAATTTGAAGGGAGTTACGGGAAGGAGGGTAGAAGAATATTTGAGATGAAAAGTACTGATGGGAAGTATTCTTCCTTAGAATAATATTTAAGGGTTTTACGCCCTTATCATCTTGCAAAGTTCCAATGTTTGAATTCATCTGACGTCTTCAGCCCGCATCACCCTTCCAAGGCCGTCTTGACACTAGTTTTTACAATGCGAGTTGCAATAAAAATGATCGAAATGGTCAAGCGAGAACTTCGCAGACCAATTCGTACCTGGAATTACCCCCGAGAAACGCCAACCAAGAGTCAACCCCGGAAGCCAATAAAAAAACCAACGACTAACTCAAGAAAGTATATCGACTATCGGTGCAACTTCACCGCAAAACCCAACCCGAAAAGTAAATGATGAAAATGTGTAACGATTTATCGACTCGAAGCCATCCACGATTTCCATACCAAATACCCCCGTATTAAAGTTGACACACGTGTGTACAACATTCTTCCGAAGACATTCATAAAACCCACACGAATGGAAATCGCCGACGCAATGCGCCAGAGTGATTACTAAAGTTAACAAAGTAAACTTAATGATAAAACTAAAGAATTAAAGAAAACTGAAATAAAGTAAAGAGGAAAAGATACGCAAGTTGTCTACTAATATTACGAGTTATTAACAAAATTAATGAAAAGTATTGCGCATTTGCATATATACTATAAATAAATATATGAGATGAGAGAGAATGTGTGAAAAATGAAGGGAGAATTGAAATTTAACTAAATGAGGTAGAAATTAACAGGAGAATTGTGGTACTCAATTACACATTAATGGCTAATTTATAAATGTTAAAAATGTGCTGCAGCTCGCTGGTAACTAATTGCTCGGCTACTTGATTATTCACCCCTCTCCTCTCTCACCTCCTCCACCCCTGCGTGTTTCGGAAAATTGAGAGTGGAATTTCCGACAAGAATGAATGAGTTAAACGTTCGGAACTTTAGGATGGTGAAATTATTAAATTTCTATGAAACAAACAAACTTCGTAAATTTGAACCATTTGAACAATTCTGTTCTGAGAAATGAAATTTTTATTGTTGCAAGTGAAAACTTTTATTAATGTTTTTTAAATGAAGAGAATTTTCCATTAGTTGAGTAGAAATATGCGAACAGTGATGTGAATAATTAAGAAAGCCGAGTACAGGGCCAATTAGACTGTAAAGTCTCATGTGAAATCTACAAGTATAATTGAAAGAAACAAAGGCTGACTGAAATGCGCCCGATAATTCTCCATTAATTTTTTATGATTTATGTTCAAATTAACGTGATGATAAATGGCATTTCTCGGTTATGAAGGAAAAATGGCATTCCTCGAGGCACCAGCGACGCCAAGGCGCTCTAGTTGTTTTATACGGTTCGTATCCTCAACGCAATTAAATTTACGGATGCGAGAAAATGTTTTCTGAATGAAAATGCATAAACGTACACATAAATACACGTACCATAGAGTGAAGGGGGCACGTACATATCCTGATACAATTGTAATACAGATACAGGATGGCTGAAGATGTGTTATCATGAAATTTTACGGTGGTGTAACTGATGTAATTTAAATTGTACCCCGAGAACGAGCGCACAGCGATTCCAAATTGATGACTCTTCCTTCTATCCATCCTCTACCTTCCACACACCCTTTTCTTGGGATAATCCGTGTAAATTGAGTTAGCTAACGTTGCACGCAGAACTCTCATCCCGGGGATGAGCTTTGTACGCGTTTAGTCGCACATCTACGACTATAATGGCAACTTTTGGAGTTATGTTAACGGATGATGAATTGTAGTTTATGGGGAGAGAGTGGAGTTAAAATCAAATATTTGGGGTAGATGAGGGATTATTGCGGAGGTTTTATATTACAACATTGGGAAGTTTTAATGAGGGGGTGATCACTCGGAAAAAACTGGATCTTAGATTTTGCGATTATGAAATTTTTTGAAGATGGTTTCGTTGACTTGAGTTTTTGATTGATTCGTAGATTTCTCTTGCATGAACAAATAAATCGCTCGAAAAATTACTACTCGTTCTGGGTAATCGGAGAGTGAAATTGGTTTAAAGAATTCTAATTCCAAATTAACCCTCGATCACTCGCGCTCGACCGCCAATCTTCATCCGGCGTACGGTGAGCGCGGCGCCGCAGGGTTAACCGAGCGCGCCGTTGCCATCTTGGCGCTTACCGTTATGCACGCATTCCACGTGCGGCGGTGAATGTAGCAACACTGGCGGTCGAGGGGTCGACAGGGACTCACTCGCACCAGGCAGCGCGACGCCGCTTTTCTGTTCGTTCGACGTTTATTTTCTTTTTTAGGCAGGGGAGGTAGTATCTGTACCGCTCACCTACGGAATAATGACAATTCTTGCGGCCTAACCCATGGTTTTGTATGAAAATTCCAGTGGCATAGCGTTCTTTAGCTATTCAGCTAGATATTTTGACATAACAGATTCTTACTTCTTGGTGAAATTTCGATAATTTATTAAGAAACAAAGACGGGAGCTGAGTGAGCGGTACTGGGCGCATGTAGCCAATACCACTCACTCAACTCTCGTCTTCGTTGTTTGACAATTTATCGAAATTTCAGCAAGAATTGACCGTCTATGATGTCAAAATATACAGCGGAACAGCTAAGGAATGTGCGACTGTAATTTTCAGCCGAAATCATGGGTTGAATGCAAGAAGATTGTTATTCCTTAGGTGAGCGGTATAGGCAGTACCTAATTGGCCTTAAATTACATCGGAAAAGTCCGAAAACTATGGGGTGCTATTCTCGTAATTTCAAGACGTGAAAAAAATAATTTTTTTGCGAGAATTATATATTGATAGTAGAGCCTTCAGATTGAGTGAGAAATTTTCTCGGAAAAGTAAGTAGTTGTGGAGAAAAAGGGGTGAGCGGTATTGGCTGCTGAGCGGTGCAGGCATCGCTTCCCCGAAACAAGTTTCCCGAGAAAAAAACGGACAACACCAAAGCTTAATAAAAGGATTGAACTAGGAACTCTTATTTTTTCAGAATTTTTAAGCGTCGAGAAACACGCTAAAATATTTAAAAAAACGAAAACGGGCGGCGCCGCGCTCGTTGAGCGAGTGATCGAGAATTAAGAAAAAAAATTGGTGAAAAAGTAGCAAAAGACGTCTAAATTGCAGCGGTGAGTAATTTTTACTCCTTTTTTTTCGTAATTTTTCACTGATTTTCTTCTCCAAGTGGCCATTTGAGTCTCATTTTCTTCGTGTTTTTCATCAAAGACTCATTATTTTTGGGATTAACTATATCCTACTACGCTTTAGGTTACGAGTGTGATTACCCCCTCCAAAAAAATATTAAAAATCAACCAAATCCCGTTTTTTACACCAATGAGTGACGAATCAAAAGTTATTTTTACAAAACGATTTATAAATAATTCAAGTGTATTTATAATCAATCAATCATCCGTAGACAACCATATCTATCATTCATGATTGTGAATCACTGGTGGCCACATGAATTTTATCCGTCATTTGATTGTGGTAGGCCAATTGTGAAAATTATGTAGAGTAACAAAGTTATTGAATGGAGGACAGAGAATGACCCTATTGAAACTACGAAATTAATTAAATCCCACCGCTTTCAGTG